CTGCAGATGTGTACTGTTCCAGATCAGCTCATAAGAACACACACGAAGAAATTCTAACTTTCAGGCAGCTATCACATTCACATGCTGTTCCCTGTGGTGGCCTTTAAAAATGATTTATCATCTGTCCTTGTTGCTCAGCACCCACTGAAATAAAAACATTTGCCAACATGTATATATCATGATGTAAATATGCAACCCCATGAGAGACATTGTCCAACTGCACCATTTACTGGAACCGATCCTGAATTGTACTCAGGTGTGACACATGCTCGTTGGACAAAATGACCCCCATGTGTACAAAGTTGCAGATTCAGATGCCTAATTTAGGGATTTTCAAGGTTTTTCAAAGGAATAAAGTGGTAAAGGCTCATGTGGCTGATAGTTCAGAGAGTATTCATAGATACTGTATTTCAGAAGTCATTGATACAATTGACACCTGTGCAGTTTGTCAGACAGACAATGGTGTGTTAAGGTGTTAAGCAATCTGTATCCCTCTCTGTTATTCTGTGTGCCACAAGATCATCACATACATCTTTATACTGTGCATATACATCTTGACTTGTTTAGCTACAATCTTTACCTTTAGTAAGCTAAGGTTAAATAGTGTTTGTTGCAAGGTGGGCTATTCTGAGAAAAACAGAAAAGAGATCTCAAACAGTTAATGTGTCCATAGTCGTGGCTGCAATTTTAGCAGATGGACTTTACGGTTTCTCACAGCATAGCTCTATTCTTAGTGTGTCATGAGGACTGGCGTCAGTGTTGTTTTTGCATGGCTATAGAAAAAAACAACTCTGACATATAAAACCTGGTTTTGACAATTTTATGGCCTTGGCATATCTCAAGACTGACTGCACCAGTGCCCTGAAAGCATACCTCTACTCTTTCTGAATCCCCTGCAGTAGTCTTTCAGTCTCTCCTGTCTCACTCTCTACAATAAAATTAAATAAATACCAAAGTTGTCTGGTTGTTGTGTGTGCATTGCAACATGGTGCGAGATGTGCTATCAGCCATTTGACCATATCTGAACCCTTTTGTTCCGTCTTTGATTGTTCTGACCATCTGCCCTTATTTCCCCTCATTTTTATTACCAGCCCACTTTCACACATGGCCTCAAAAAACACACATGTGTGCACAACCACGCACGCACAGACAGAGCTGAGTGACCTTCAGTATTAAGTGATCCATCCTGTTTTTCTTCTTCCCCTTTATTTTATCATCTTTACTTCCTCCTCTCATTCTTTTTTTAGTGCTGTGGTGGAGAAGTACCTCCTGGAGAAGTCTCGGCTTGTCTCCAGAGAGAAGAATGAGAGGTGAGTAGGGACGTGGGTTCTTGACTGACCTTCATCGGGCCTTCTTTGTAAACATTGTTTGTGCCATCAGCCCCTGATTGTTGTTTATGAAGTTTAACTGAAAGAATCAGTCTTTAGTTTAGTCTGCCTTAACGCTTATGCACCTACATACATACTCATACCTTCAGACACTGTAGATATTCCCCCCAAGTGCTTAAATATCCAAATGGTATATGTTAATTCTACTGGGGTCCCTGATAGACTAGTAGCTAGGATTCAGCGCTCTCGCTGCCGTGGCCCGGGTTTGATTCAGGGTTGCGTCAGGAAGGGCATCTGGTGTAAAACACGTGCCAAACTTCACCATGCGAGTCATTGGTGTGACGATTCGCTGTGGCAACCCCTAACGGTAACACCCGAAAGTGAATCATTATTGTGTTAATTCTTTCTACTAAAGCAGCATTAGCTCTATGTGTATAAAGTGAATAAAGTTACCCTCTGACACTGAAGTCGACATAAGTACAAGTGAACTGCACAGTGTGGGCTGGTGGTGGGACTTGGTTTCAATGTAGGTGTGATAAATACATTTTAGTTGGGTTGACTAATTTTAATGAGGCATCAGTTTGTTTGAGTTAAAAAATATCATTTGCAACAAATGATAGAGAAGAACAAACTTTTTTTCTCCCTCATATCTGAGGGAGACTGCCTCATTCGTCGTTTCGCCGTTGGCTCTTCCTTCACATCATGCAAGCCTTTGTTACACACCGTGACATTCCCTACAGACCAGACTGTCAGTCTGTTGCTACTCATGTGACTAATATGCAAAAATATGTGGGCTTTGGTAATTGACAAATATAGTCAGTGTTAGGGGAATGTGCAAATTCTTCAGTGTTTCATATGGTGTTTATACAGTACTAGTAAAGAATTAGTCAGAAAAAGAGGCTCACTAGTTTAAAGTATCACATCAGTGAAATCAACACTTTTTTTTTTTAGATTTCATTTCATCATAATATAGTAATAATTTAACTCTTACTGACTCGGTAAGGCTTTTCTAACTACAAGTCATGTTTTAGCTTTCCATTTTATACTCTCACGTGTATAGAAACCTACTGTTTTGATAAGGAGGAGAGCTGCTCTTTCAGCCCTTTCCCATCCAGAGTTTCCCAGCTAGTTTAGAAAATGGGAGTCTCCTACTAGTCACCTTCCACCCCTGTAACCGTTGGCCTGCACAGCCTACTGGTGATCACCTAGCTACCGCCTGTCTAGTTAGGGAGTGTGTGTGCTGTATGATGTCATTGTTTCTCATTGTGGAAACTCATTACTCCCATGTGCTTTTACAACAACCGGTTAACTGATAACTCGAGTGGAAAATCATATCAGCATCATCCATTCTATTAGCTTTCTACAGTGTTTTGACCCTTCTTTGTAACCATAAACATGAAGCTCCTGTCCACTGATAACTACCCACCAGGTAATAGAAGAATCAAAGGGTGGATACAAATATGAATAAATTAGTCCACTGGATCAATTTTGTTTAATCACTGGAGGAAAGTTTTCTTTGCAATAATAACAGTGTGTTTTAAATGGGTGTGAAGTGCATGCTGTGTTGTTTTTCCAGGAACTACCATGTGTTTTATTACCTGTTGTTGGGAGCTTCAGAGGAGGAGAGGAAGGAGTTTAAGTTGCTGCAACCCGAAGACTACTTCTACCTCAAGCAGGTACAGTTGTCACATCACATCTAGCAGTTTACACTCTATTAATGGCAAAAATGTGACTTTTCTTTTGGTATATATTCTGCCCTGGTCAGTCTGCTCAACCCATGGAATCACTTTCTAAACCTGTTAATGAATCTGTTTGTAACCTTACCTTTAAGGTAACTTCACTGTGAGACGATCTGGTATTCATGAAAACTGTCAAGCTTCTGAATAAGCTGCTGTCTACAGTCCCAGCTCACTGTGTGCATGTGCGCTGCATGTTAATGAAGCGGTCTTTGTTTTCTCACTTTTCATTGCCCTCCTTCCTCCCCCTCTTTTTAGTCACCTCTCTTCACTCTTCAGCTGTTTGTCTATTTTGTAATTCTGCTTTCAGTTTCTCAGCTTCATATATTCTTAGTAACTGTTACTGTTTGTTTTTTTGTTTACAGCAAAACTTTAAGATAGAAGATGAGGAAGACCTGCGTCATGATTTTGAAAGGCTACAGCAGGCGATGGAGATGGTTGGCTTCCTTCCTGCCACCAAGAAACAGTAAGTCAGTCAGTGAACAAGTCTAATATACAGTAGTGTGTGTAATGTAGGAAAGAGCCTCCTGTTCTTCTAGATGTAGATTGTGTTGAAAATCCATCGCAAAGCATTTTCCACTGTCCCAGAAACAAATTATTTTAGTCTTGAGAACTGAGGCACATTACAAAAACATATAAATCACAACAAAGAAATATTTTATAGCAGCAGTAGCATAACAATAGGGGCGTCTAATGCCCTGATGTACCAGTTTAATAGAGACCATGTGCAGATGCAGCCCAGTACAATACCTTTATTCGGTTTCCATAAACAGATAAGACTAAGGAACGGTGTAGCTTGGCAGAGTTACTGCATGTGTCATGATTGTATCGCTGCTGTTGCTTTAAGTATCTGTAATTGTTATGACTGTGTCGCAGGATCTTTTCTGTGCTCTCGGCGATCTTGTACCTGGGCAACGTGACCTACAGGAGGAAGTCAACAGGCCGAGATGAGGGGCTGGATGTGGGACCACCAGAGGTCCTGGCTACCCTCTCTAACCTGCTAAAGGTAACTCTATATACATACATATGGGCCTGTCTTCATGACTTCATACTTTAGCGTGTCTGGTGAGTTGTGTGTGGCTGTCATTGGCATTAACCTGTGGATGTCACTCTCAGGTTAAAGAGGAGTTGCTGGTTGAGGCACTGACCAAGAGGAAAACGGTGACGGTCAATGACACGCTGATCCTTCCCTACAGCCAGTCTGAGGTTGGCACAAGCCATGAAGACAACTCTGCAACCTGTCATTACTATAATAGTGTCCAACTGCACACCAATTAGTGGCTTTGTGTGTCTGCATATTTCATATTTCGTCCTGCTTCTTGCTCTTTTTTGATATCACACTCACTGTAGATCTCTTCTTCCTGTCAGTGTGTAATGTACTTGTTTTCTCTGTTTGCCCCGTTTTTTCCCCTCATACACATTTGCTTCTTAGACTTTTTTTTATAATATGGTCTGATTGTAAAACACACTGTAAAATGGTACTTTTGCTTCTGTTTTGTTAGTTTTCATCATGTGTGTCATCCCCTCTTTTTCTCACAGGCTATCACAGCCAGAGACTCTATGGCCAAATCTCTGTACAGTGCCTTGTTTGACTGGATTGTCCTACGCATCAATCACGCACTGCTCAACAAGAAAGACATGGAGGAATCTGTCCCAGTGAGACAATAACACTCTCACACAGACACACAAAATACATGCATCTGCACATTACTACAGATACTGTCTTTAAGATTGTTATGCACTTCCTCACCAGTGTTCGGTCGGTGTGCTGTTTTTCAGTGCTTGTCCATTGGTGTCCTGGACATTTTTGGCTTTGAGGACTTTCAGACCAACAGCTTTGAGCAGTTCTGCATCAACTATGCAAATGAGCAACTGCAGTATTACTTCAACAATCACATCTTCACTCTCGAACAGGTGAGCGTTGTTTGTTTCTTGTGACATGACACCACTAGAAGATTTGGCTTCCCTGTGATTCAAACATCTTCTCTCTACTCGGTGTTTACAATAATGGATATTAAACCGATGAGTCACCTAAACATTTTCTAATCTCTGAAGGGAGGACCATTTTCTTGCTAGTTCATGCTAGTTTATCTTAGCCTTCAAAGAGGGTGATGATAGGAATACCAATCAAAGTGAAATAAACTATAATATTTATTTAGTCACTTGACATGGAAAACGGTATGTTGCTCCATCTTTTTGGCACACATGATAAAAAAAAAAACATCTAAAATGGTCAAACTTTCTAATATGACCTGAATTCTCCATGAAGATGGCTCACTGAAAAGTTCTGTCCTGCCTTATTCAGGAGGAGTACCAAGCAGAGGGAATTACCTGGCATAACATCGACTACACAGATAATGTGGGCTGTATCCATCTCATCAGCAAGAAGCCTACCGGCCTGCTCTACCTGCTGGATGAGGAGAGCAAGTAAGAGCTGCTACCAATGATTCACACGGTTTGATTCTTGTCTTATGGATGCAGGTAAAACTGAAGATTGTTTTGGTTCGGTTGGAGCTGTCCTTTTATCCATATTTTCTTCTTCTCTTTCCATCCATCCTTCTCTCCTCTTTCCTTCTTTCTGTGCCTGCACCTCAGCTTTCCTCATGCCACAAATGAGACATTATTAGCCAAATTCAAGCAGCAGCACCAGGGGAACAAATACTTTGTCCCTACACCAGTCATGGAGCCAGCCTTCGTCATTCACCACTTTGCTGGAAAAGTCAAATATCAAATCAAGGTGAGCAGGAAGACGGATAAAGAAACCACAGGTTGCCACATGACAAATAGGTGATACCATGAAATGTAAACAAAAGATCAGAGGGCTCTAAATTACACAAATATAATTTAGGCCATTTATTTCTGTGTTGACTCAAGTGTTTTTTGAATGTTATTGATACCAGGATTTCCGGGAGAAGAACACCGACTACATGCGTCCTGACATTGTGGCGTTGTTGCGGAGCAGCGACCGTGCTTATGTGCGACAGCTTATTGGCATGGATCCAGTAGCCATGTTTCGGTGGGGCATCCTGCGTGCCACCATCAGAGGCATCGCTGCCTTTAACGAGGCTGGTCGCTCCTGGGCCGCCAAAACTTCAGGTATCTGTGTAATGACATCACCTTGACCTGGGCAAAATAGTCCTAAAAGTGCATGTTCACCGTAGATGGTGTTTTAAATAGTGAAATTTTCCTAGCTCTTTTTTTGTTATTGACTGCTTACTGATTGTATCTAGTACTTAATAGCATGTCAGTTAATAGCAGTCATGTGACTGATCGAGCTTTTACTTTTTCTGATTTCATTTATTAATAATGTGCATTAATTGTTTTAATTCTTTTTCATTTAGGTGTTGTCCGTCCAATCACCAGAACTCCTTTAGGAGAGCTACAGCGGTCCAATACTGCAATAGAAAGAATGTACAAGTAAGTATTGTACATAATTGAGTATGGAACGTTATAATGTGTGTCATTTCATCCTTGTTGTGTTTGGATTGGTTTTCTAACTTTAATGTCTGTTTCCTCTGGAGGAATATGTCTGCCATAGTACCCGTGGATGTGGAGGCAGGCTGTCGGTCCTGTTTAGTTTGTGGCTAATAACTCGCGTTCCACAGACTGGTTATATTAGCAGCAACCTTTCTGTCACTTATGAAACACACAGCAGCTTATTTCCAGTTTGATGGTCCTTGTTAATTGTGAAGGAAGTGTTTAAAATGGTTGGTGATCTGTGGGCCTCCACATTTTTCCTGTGGCACTGGATGTAATGAGGAAGGACAGTGTCAAACATTTGAACTCTGTTCAGCTGAATTACTGTATTTTGTCTGAACTGAATCCACATAGATTTTGGCAAAACCCTCATAGATGACTCCTCCTTTACCTCATCTAAATTACCAACATCCTCTCCACCTTTTGGTGACACTAGTGTGTGCACTTCTTTCCTCTCCCCTCCACAGACGAGCTTCAATGCTCGGCTTCTGCTTTGATCACTCAGAGGAGCGCCCTCTAGAGGCCTTTGAAGACATCTTTGCTAGCTATGAGACTAAGAAGTAAGTGAATTTGGTGGATAGGAGCAAAGAATGAACACACGAGGCCAAGCAGGAAGGAAATGTTTTGTTTTGGGTAATGGAGTTTGCTTCATTTTCTGAGTTTGCTCCCCATCTAAAAACCTATTCAGTTTACTGTAACTGAATTCAAATTCATCTTTGTAGTAGTTTTGATCAGAGAAGGCAGGTTTATCAAATTTGTCACTTCCTGCTCTTTAAAAATGAAAGTAGCAGGTCAAGTGTCTCCGTTCAGTACAGCATAGATGCCCTTTACTTGATGTTCCCTTATGGTAATCCCCATTTTTTTCTGTAGTTGTGGTAATCTTTTCCTCATGTTTATTATTCTTGCTATGGAGCACAGGGAGGTGTTTATACTGGCTTACTCTGATTAGCCTTCCAGATTACTTAGATCTGCTGTGGATTGCTGAAATCACACATGTATTCATACACTCACAGGGGCCATTAGTCAAATCGACAGGGAACTGGAAGAGCTTTCTCAGAATGGAACAAACCCATGGAGAATATACTTGGGCTGTTTGTCCCTCTGAACCTTGACCTTGTACCTCTGTCTTTCAGTTCTGAAATTACTGAGTTGTTTTTTTAAAGACTGAGCATCTAACCTGAGTTGAAACTCCTGGCACATTGTTGCCAATGTTCAATCATTCAGTCGTTCCAGATCTGCAGTAACTGAGGTGCAGAGGTCAGATTCACTGTGACCATTTATTATATATGTTGGCCAGTCCTTTGCTGCCTTGCCTCCTCTGTTTTCATGGTCATTTGTGGTAAGTATAGAAAAGCTTTGCATGGACTAGTTTTGGGACATAAAAAGGTCTCAATATTAACCTCACCAGGCCCAGTGTAACACCAGACCCATTAAAGGACCACAAATCCAAAAACCTCACTAGTAACAGCTTAATCACCCAGCCAGTAACAGCCCCAGCATGGAAACAGATGGCCAAGCACACTGAGCATCAGTTCATTTCTGCATGTTGCCTACCACAGTGGCAGGGGAATACAACCCCTCCATGCTCCAGTCTCTCTGTGTGTCATCTTCCGGTCTTCAAAGGAATACAGCAGTATGGTTGGGTGGTCTACTGTGTCTTGTGGTTTTCATGTATATAAACATGAACAGTGGAAGAATACAGTTTGTGGGTTATTGTTCATGGATGACCGGAGTGTGAAAGCTGACATTGCTCTTGATATCAGACCCCCAACTATCCTGCAGTGCATGTTCTTGTCTTGGTTAACTGCAGTGGTATGGTTTCTTCTGAGGTGTCCTAATAGTGGTGTTCTGTCATACCCCACTTTGGTTTTTTTTTTTTTCTTACTGTCTTCTCCACCCAATCTTTCTCTTGTTTTTCCCCCTCCATCTGCTCCCCATACCACCCTGTCCATTCCTCTTCACACTGGGTGCGTGTGTTGTGGTGTGATCAGAAACATGCATGAAGAGATCGTCAGCTCCATTAAGAACTTGCAGCTGGATGGTGAGGACCCTCGTAAGCTGCTGCAGTCCTGGGGTCGCCTCCGCTTCCCGCGACACGTCCTCCAGTGAGTCTGCAGACAGGCCTCGCATCAGCTCTCCTCTAGATCAGTCCAGTCCAGCCGGCTCAGACAGAACATGCTTCCATTAAAGCTTTCTATTTTTTGCAAAAAAAACTGTAAATATTTTTACTGGCCATGTTCGCCTTGTAAACCAGTTTAACACAAGTGGCAAAGGATAGTTTAGCATTCACATTTTTAGCCACTTTCCTCAGTGAGCCATTAATGGTATGTGTGATCTAATCTAAAACCTCAAACACACATGTTACAGCAAGTACTTCAGGGAAACGAGGAGAACATGAACAAAAATTTTGGACCATTTATGCAGAGATGAAAGCAAGAGAGCATGTCTGTTTGTGTGGTGAGTCTCTGCTGGGCTGATTGTTTAGATTTTACTTCTCCTGCAGAAAACTCCCTCCTCTTTCTCTCCTAATCCTTTGATTCCTTGCCTCTGCTCATCATTGATCTCATCTTTCAGGTGCAACCCTGATTTCACTGACTGACAGTGCATGAAGAAGTCATCCATACTAACCTGGCTTCTCACACTCCATCTGCTACTCCATCCCATCCTGCTGCCTCAGCTTTTAACACTTTAATAATTCCCCTTCATTTTTTTTGTCCCTTTTCTACAGGAAAAACAAGAGCACCAAACAGAAGCAGGTCATTCCCAAGGTAAACTTGAATTTAAGCCCCCAAGTTTAGGGGCAGATAAAATAAACATTCTGCTTTAGACATACAAAACAACCTAATGGATTTTATTAGTTTGCATCATTTTTAGAAACGGATTAATTCACTATTACTGCTGTGCAGAGTTTGCTTGATTCTCGGTCTCTGAAGTTCATTGTGAGCCTGACGCTGCAAGATCACACTACCAAATCTCTGCTCCACCTGCACAAGAAGAAGAAGCCTCCCAGCATCAGTGCCCAGTTCCAGGTAAATGACGCATAAGATTCAGCAGTATGCTTATTATTACACACAGAAACTCTGGGCTTTCATGCCACATACACCCTGCAGAATTCATCCTGAACATTCAGTACACCCGTCATTGTTTATTTCAGACTTCTTTGACAAAGCTGTTGGAAACACTGAACAAAGCGGAGCCTTTCTTCATCCGCTGTATCCGCTCCAATGCTGAGAAGGTAAGACATTGTCAGGTATTTTCTTTCTTTCTTTTTAATACCTTCTATTCAAATCTTGAAATTTGCTTTCTGCTTAAGGGCATTATAAGAGGAAATCTTGGTTGCACACTGTAAGGACATTTCATGTGTCTGTTAAATCTTTTATCTGTTACATAATGAAGCAACGCTTAGGATTTTAAAATAAAGATCAAATCAGAAGTATAAAATTGTCACAGACTTCTCAGCCCCAAACAATGATATAGACAACCATGATTACAGTACTCATTATGCTAAAAATACACAGTTTATTTAGTACATATGGGTATCTACCTACCTGTATAAGTATAACCAAATATGCTTCTTGTGTCCTCGTAT